GCCAGCATCCGCAGTCCCTCCCTCCGAGACCTCCTCCATTATCCCCTCATCTGACACACAGACACACCAGTGAACTAGGAAAATGCCAGCCAGCTCCTCATCTGACACTCACACCAAGACAAATTCCAGATGGACGGAAGGGTTAAATAGTTTTAAAATAAACACAAAACATCCACCAAATACCAAAGTACTGCTAAGCAAGCACGTGCGCACGCAAACACACATACCGGGGAAAATAGATTTGGCAGCACATTTTCAAAGATTCCGTAAATCAAAATGCAATATAAGCAAAATTAAAAGGCAAAAGATAAAAGTGAAAACATGTTTTCAACAAAATGATGAAGGTTACATCCTGAATATATAAGGCACTGCTGAGATTTAGTCTAAAAAAAAAAAAATTCAAACATATTACAAACTAAAGCAAGAAAGAGAGATGGCAGGGGCCAACCCCCAGCACAGGGACTGTGGGGGCAGCAACCCGCCCCTCAGGACACACAGTGGCCCACCCAGTCAGGGCACAGAGAGGAAGGGGCAGCACCACGAAAGCCTCTGGGCGCACGGGGCTACAACCACCCGGAGTCGACAACGGCGCATCAGTGCACACCACACACACCACGGGCGAGTTCCCACTGCCACAGGTGCCCAGGCAGCACGCCCAGCTCACGTCCAGGCGCAGGACATCACTGGAGTGACAGTAAGCCCACAGCTGCGCACTCAGCTGGGCTACAAGGGCTGCAAGGTGCTCATGTCCTGCCTGTGGGTACACCATGGGGCCGCCAGTCAGCGCCATCTGGCAGCTCTGATAAAGAGACAAGTGCCCTGGCGCAGCCACCCTGCCCTAGGAGAGCAGAAAACACACGTCCCCAAGAGCCCTGCACCCATGGTCAGAGCAGCCCGTCACCCACTCAGAATGTGTGCAGGACGGACGGTGGCCCGTCTGCGCAGCACACAGCCCAACGCAAAGGCAACGTGTGCCACACAATCACACTCAGGGTCAGACGCTGCACAGCATCAGAACAGAGAGCAGAGCCAAGAGCCCAGGGACACGTGGCAGAGTCACGGGTGTGAATGGCATGCATCAACACACTCCCGCATGACTTGAGCTGCAGGAAATTCCAGGACAGGCCAAACCCTGCAAGATAAACAGAACGGGGAAGGGGTAGGACACGAGGGCTACTCTGGGGCTCGGGGCACTAGGTGGCTACTTGGGGACGTTACACCGCGAGACAGATGTGGAAACTCAAATCGTGAGCCCTCGGCATCTGGGTCTCACTGTGTGCACAGCAAACCTGCCATGGGTAGAAAGAAGCCTGGCAGGAGGTGCCTGCCACACCCACCACAAGGTTCGGAGAGGTGGGATGACAGGCACAGACCCTGACACATGGAGCTCAGTGTGAGAAGCCAGTCATGGAGGACCACATTGTCAGACTCCTTCCAAAGGGAAAAGTTCAGAACCAGCAAAATCCCTAAAGCCAGAAAGCAGGCTGGGTTGCTGGGCAGAGCAGAGCTGGGAACAGGAGTGCCTGCCAGTGGGCATGGGCTCTTTAGGAGCTGGAAGAATTCTGGAACCAGAAGGTGGCGGTGGCCAAGCACCGTTTCAGCACCCAAGAGCCACTGAAGTGTACACTTGGTAAGTGAACCAGGTCTCAAGCTGTGACACATGCCCCAAGTGGCCGCGGCTGCAGGCAGGCTGGGAGGATTGGTCTCACCTCCACCAGACTGCTGGTGGGTGCTCAGGACCCTGCACCTAAGAGGCACCTCAGATGCCACCACTGAGGCTCTCCGAGTCTCTGCCAGGCACACCCATCACTGTCTACAAAGATGACAAACCGAATGAGCGTCATCACCTAACCAAGAAAGCTGCTGGAGCTCCCAGGTGAACTGAACACAGGATGCAACTCCTTAGAACAAGGGGGCCAGAGCGGGCAGGCTCTGCCAGGGCAGACCCTTACTAAGTCCCAGGGCCCAGATGGACCCAGATCATCAGACCTTACACACAGGCCACCAGAAGCCCAACCCTAGTGTGGCGAGCACCCAGGGCAGCATGCATCTGCAGGTCAAATGGCCAGGAGTGACCAACACATCTCGTTCCCATTCCCGGCCACCCGCCTCCGGCCTAGACAAACAAGCTCATCCGGTTTGGCTCAAGATCATTGTGTTCATTTCCACAATTTAGGAAGTGGGATAACAAGGCCAATCCACCACTGGGGGCTTCACCTGGGGAAAAGCTCCCATCCGTCCTGAGCCAGCTCCACCAGCCCTAGAGCACCCAGGACTGGTCATGCCAAGTCAAGCCACCAAAGATAGCCTGCACTCTGGGAAGTCAGGTTCCTGGACTACCAAGCTCTGTTGCCTTGGGTGAAATGAAGGCCCCTGACTCCGTGCATCTGTAACAAAGTACCCCCTTCTGGGGGTGGCCATGGGGAGCGCATGAGCTAGGACCGGAGCTGATCCACGCAGGCCCCATCTGGTCACCCACATGTGAGCTGCTTCTGACCCTGGGTAAGTCAAGTCTCTCTTCCCAAAGCCAAGGCAGGGGCTGCCTGTCAAGCTCCAGGATCTATGATCGCAGAGCCCGGCGCGCCCTGACCATGGTTCTAACACCAGCTTCTCCCAGGCTGGGCTGGCAGCATCCTCTGCAGAAGAAGAGCTTGTAGAAGGAAGGTGCCTTCCACCTCACCATGGCACCTTGCTCCGTGGGCTTCACCCAAGAACCTCCGTCTCCTCAACCACCATGCCTCTGAGGACCACTGCAGCAAGGACGGAACGTGGCACACAGCAAGCCTGGGGAAGCATCAACACAGCGAGAGGTGCCAGTCCCCTCCCCAACCAGCCCCTCCTCCCAGCCCTGTGGCTCAGCCCCAGTATCCAGTGCCCCACCCAACTTCACCCCACGCAGCTCACCAGAGCCACAGCTTCTAAACAGCCACCAAGGCTCCCAACAGGAGCACTCTGCGGAAGGTGACAGGGAAGCCCACTTGTCCCTATGCCCTAGGGAGGAGAGTGAGACCCTTGAAGATTAAAACCCTTGAAAGTCCTACCCCATGGGGAAGTACCAGAAGGCACCAAAGGCCAGGGACCATATGAGACAAAAGAGGGCACCTGGCCAGCCATGGGCAGTGTGAAGCAAGCAAAAGGCTTCCTGACGCAGCAGTCTCCAAGTGCCTCCTCGTGGGGCAGGCTAGTGGCTATGCTCGGCCTCCTGGGCTCCCAGCTACATCTGCTGGGAAGGAAGCCTCCCCAGGTACCAGGCAAGGTCCCGAGGTTCCACCCTGCCCTCCCAAGACTGAGCAGGCTGCCTACGCAGCACCCAGCAGAGCGGAAACTGAGCCCTCCAGCACCTATTCCTAAGAAGCTGTGGTCACAGGACAGCGACGTTGACGAGGAGGGGCAGGAGGAGCAACGGACTTTCTGAGACCTTTGCTGCATACTCACCTGGTGCCAAGTGCTGTCCAGTGCACTTCAAATGCATTCACCCACTTCCACCCCCCTCAAGGTTACAGGTGAGAAACTAAGGCACAGAGAGAACTGAGGAGCCCAAAGTCACAGAACATCCCCCATGGAGCCAGGCCTGGCTCTCGGGCCAGCGACAGTGGAGACACGACAGCCCAGAGCACAGGTTCACAAGGTCACACAGCGGGAGAGGCACTGCTGGCACTCTCTCAGGGGCACTAGGGAGCTGGACAGGATGGCAACATCCAGGAGCCTCCTGCTGGCCAGACTGCCCTGGGAACAGCAGGAGAGAGGACCCCAGGAGGCTGTGTCCCTTTTCCAGGGCACCCCTGCAAACACCCACTGCCCCAAGCTCTTCCCCACCTCCCCCAGCCCAGGCTGATCCCACTTCTCTTGGCAGCCCACCAGATGGTCACCCCTGGCTCAATCCTCTCCTCGCCAGCCACCCTCCCAGCAGATGACCCTAACTCTCAGGTGAAACAGCAAGGGTGCAAGTAAGTCACCTAGTGAGGACACAATTCCATCAAATACCACAGCAGAAAAAAGACAGGAAAGAGCTCGAGGGTCTGAATGATCACCACCAAGCAATGGCTGGTTTCCTTCCTCTGCTGTGAGCTTTCTATGACAACAGGGTCTATTTTTTGGAAACTGAGATAAAGCTTTTCCAGTGCTCTTCATCCCACCCTTACCCACACGCGCGCACACACCCCTTCGCCTTCAGCTGCATTTCCACAGTACCCTGCTGCGCCTCACATCCCAGCACTACAGACTGGTATCCAACCAGGGCCGGGAGCACCAGCCTGGCCCAGCCCACAGGGCTCCAGGTCGTCTTCAGAATTACTGGGGCACTAAGAGGATGTCCACAGAACCAGTTCAGCCCCCGAAGGCCATGGGCAGCCCGAGGCCAAATCAAACCCACTTCTCTCACCAGCTCCTGCCCACTCAACACAGGTCCCCAGGATGAATGACTGAATCCCCAGCGAGGACTGAATGACTCAAGGGCCTCCCATCAGCCCTGAGGACGCTCATGGCCAGACTAACCCCTTCCAGCACCCAGTGTGGCTTCCTCCTTTAAAAACCTGCCAGTCCCCTGAGGCCTTAGAGGGTCAGGTGTTGGCTGGAGTCAGAGCTGGGGGCAGAGGCAGGCGGCGTCTTGGAGCAGCCCCAGCCCCACTGGCGAACCTCTGGCCTGTCTCAGAGGAAAGAGGAAGCAGAGGCCAGGGCCAGCCTGGAAATGAGGTGGCGACCGTGGCACCAGGAGCTGCTCACAGCAGACTGCAGTTTCCTGTGGGACAATCAGTGGGATGGTGTGCCCTAGGCTGGCATCCCCTCTCGCTGGGGCCCCAGGAAAGGCCCCCGCCACATGAGTGAGCAGGCAAAACCTGCCTGCCCAGACTCAGAAGCAGCAGGCATTCTGCGGTCCCTTGCTCAAGCTACACGTGGGAGACACTGAGTCACAGAGCATGGTTCGTGCCCACACCCCCCTCAGAAGCTGCCCAGTCCTGCCCCCCAGTAGAGTAGGCTGCAACCCACTCCCCTGACTGTACCTGACACCCCACACGCCAAGGCACACGCTCGGAGGCATCACACCAAGGTGGAGGAGGCCTGGCTGTGCCCAGACCCACTCAGCCCTGCCCGGCACCAGCCCTCGGGGTCTCCACGTAGGTGTGCTCGCGCAAGCACGTGTGTCTGTACATGCCTCAGAGCCAGAGAGAGGCAGGGCCCAGCCAGGGGAGCTGCGACTGCATGAATCAGTGTTGTTATAGCAACTTGGATTCCACGTCAGACAGATTGCCAGCCGGGCACCCCCAGGCACCTTGCAAAATGACGTCCGGAATCAGCCATGGAGAAGCGCAATCACTAGCAGCACAAAAGGGCAGTCAGGATGTCCACAGTGCATGCCTCCCCTCCTCCTGCCCGCGTTGCCTCTATGCCAACCTCTTCCCTTCCTGGGAAGGGAAGCATCCAGGTCCAGCTGTGCCCACCACCCAGCTACTACATCTCACCACGTTCCCTCTCCCCAGGACGGCAGAAGCAAAGGAGCAAGAGGATGACGCTCAAGTCAAGCAGCAGAGGCAGGAGAGCCCCCATCGGCACAGTCTCCGAGCAGGCTGTAGGTGCAGGGATGGAGGTCAGTAAGGCAAGGGGAAGACCACAGTGTGCCCCGATTCACTTGGGCACATCCTGCTCTGGAGGGAAGTCACTCCCCTCACCACACAGCACAACTCTGGAGGAGAGAATGGAACAATTGTCTACACTTGTGACTATCAGGCTCACGGCAAGGGAGCTTCTACTGTCAGCACTTCCCAGCCAGAGAGATGAGGCTCAGAGATGTCAGAGCTTGCCCCAGGCTACCCAGTGGGTCAATGGCCTGGGTGGAATCCAGACCCAGGTCCCTTTCCCCTAAAAGCTGTGCTAGCCCTGTCCACCAGGCTTTGGCACCTGCTCTGAACAGCCATCACTCCAAACTGCCATAGCCATAATCCGGGAGTGTGTCTGGGCATTCATAGCCTGGCTCCCTCCCCATGAGGTCACTGAGGATGGGCACAAGCTCAACCTGATGAGCGTGCAGCCAGTGGAAGGGATGTCATGTAGCCACCATACCCAGGGCAGCTCTAGAGGTCCAGGGGAGGACTCCCAAGAGAGGCACTCCGTCACCACCACAAGGTTTGGAAGACCCACCCCCCCAGGTACCAGACAGCTGGACCAGGATGGAAGAGGTGGGGCAGATATCCCTCCATCTGCAGCGGCATCGGCTCAATGCCAGAACCTCCTCAGCAGACTCGGCCAGCCAGCTCTTCAACTCAGCTCTGAGCTTCACACTCGGGAGCCACCAGCACAGGCAGCCAGCCTGGCAGTCCCGGGAGGCCCACAGCATGGCCAGAGGCAAGAGCAGGAGAGAATCTGGGTGCTCCACCAGGAGCCCCAAGGGCTGGATGGGGTGGGAGCAGTGATGGAATGCCCAGGAGTTCACAGAGTTTCAGAAGCTCTCAAATAACTTGAGGAGTCACATGTCTCCCTCAGGCTGGGGCAGTGGTCAGTGTAAAGACACGACAGATGACAGTTCACCCACTGGCAAACACTTGAGCAGACTCTGCCTGGGCTGGGGGGCTCGGAGCCAGTGACAGACACACCTCCCCAAACTACACACACTGGGGAAGGATCAAGACATCCTCCCTTGTACCTGGGAGGTCCTCACAGGGCCTCAGCCCCCTGGAGGCTTGGAGTCCCCTTGCACACTGACAACAACCAAGCCTGTTCGGTCCCCTCCTCCACCACAAGGCGACACTGATAAGTCTGCTTCATCAATGCAAAGGATGACTGTTCCTCTCGGCCCTAGGGGCTCTCTTCTCTCCATAACTCCTCTCTCCTCCTCTTTTCCTGCCCCCAGCCCCTCCCCAGCTGCCTTCGCACCAGCTGATACTGAGTGGCACTGAGCGGCAGGCCAGACCAGTGGCTGGGATACCAGGGCAACCCTGTGCCTCCTGCCACTTGTCCAAAGGCCTGCAGGCAGGAGGTGCCAGGTGGACAGGACAGCTACAGATGCAGGCTGCAGATGCAGGGCAGGCGTCCATGCAGGTACTGTCCATGGTGCTGAGAGCAGCAGTCCCTGAGCCTCCTGCTGGCCTGGCCCACAACCCCTAGGAACCTCGAGTGGTGCTGTCAGGGTTGGCAGCTCTACTGTCCCGGCAGAGAGGTCAGGGTGTGGGTGAGACCTCCCATTTGCAAGTGCCAGAGAAGGCAGGCTCACACTCTGGGGGGTCATCAAAGGGAGGGCCCTCATGGCAAGCAGACCTGGCGGTATATATTGGCATGTCTTTCCTATTTCTTTCTAGGAAACAACAAGGAGGATGCTCCCCAAACTAACAAAGAGTCTAAGAAGCCAAACTTCCTATTTAGACAAAACAGGAAATGCAATCCAGACCCCTACCTCAGGTGAGGGCTGGCACCCAGGCAGTGAGCAAGTAGGCAGAGTTTTGCCAGGCGGGGAACGGGCGTGGGCATGGCGAGGCTGCAAGGCCTGGGAAGCAGGTCTAGGGAGCACCCACAGAAAGGCGCTCCCCCTGAACCAGCAAGGAAGTGGGCCTCCCGTGAGGACACCAAGACCAAGCAGTGGAGAGGGGACCGGCCACACCCAGAATCAGAAGGACCCAGCAGAGGTCTGCAGGAAGCTGCCTGCCTTTGTGCAGCCCCAGGGAGAGCACAGGACTCGCAGAGCTGCCCAGCTCCCATCCCCATCACCATCCCATCCTAGACGGGGGCTGGGGGGCTCTCACAAAGAGCCGCCCAGGAAAAAACCAATTCATTCCAAAATGAACGATAAACTTGAACAGCCAACAACAATCTTGAGAAAGAATAGAGTCACAGGTCACACTCTTCATGATTCCAAAACTTGTACAAAGCTGCAATCATCACATTGGTGAGCCTGACTGTGGCACAAAGACACACATGCAGACCCAGAGATTAGGACAGTCAGCCAGACACAACCCCTCATATACGGCCCAGGGATTGTGACGAGCTGCCGAGACCATTTCACAGGGAAAGGAGCGTCCTTTCTGCAAGTAGTGCCAAGTAAACTAGCCACATGCAAAAGAACACCACTGGACCCCAACCCTAAACCCCACACCAAGGTGAACAGGAAGCACACCCCAGAACTGAACGCAACGCGTGGGAAACAGGGACCTCCAAGACAGAGTGGCAGTGGTCTCTAGTCATGACACTCGATAACAAATGACAAAAGAAAAAGGCAGACAAATGACTTCACCGAAATCAGGACTCCTGTGCATCAAGTCCACCATCAACAGCGAGGAGGAGACAGAGACTCGCACAGCCTGCCCCAGGGTGAATTCCTAAAACGTAATCAAAGGACAGTCAAAAGCATCACAAATGACAGAGACTCGGATGGTGGGCAAAAGTGAGGCAAAAAGAAGGAAAGCAAATCACTTGTACAGGGAAGAAAAACCAAGCCGGTCAGGTTTTTCCAAAGCAACCTTCCAAGTCAGGAAACGGGGAGTGACATCAGCTAAAGAGTCAAAGCCCAGCAGTGCTGACCCACAGCCCATGCTGTCCCACACTGCCCTGTGAACCCACAGTGCTGGGGGACAGCAGTTCCCACCAGCCCCCCAAGAAAACACTCTGATCAGGCTGTCAGCAGGCGCTGGATACATCCACCTAGTGCTGGACGACCAGGCCAGGCGGGATTCCGGAGACAGCAGGCCGGGCCGAGGTAGAGCCTGACCCAAGCAGTGACAGCTGCAGGGACCAGAGGGGAGAGAGGAAGCCCGCAAGCACCAGAGCCGAGGACAGCATTTAAAGCTACAATCCAGTCAGAGAAGACAAGAAGATGCCACAGCACAAAGGCCAACACCGACAAAGGACTGCGGGCGACTAAAGCTGGGGACGGGAGCTAGAACACCAAGCACAGTAACTGTACAACTGCCCAGAGAAGTGGATGAGCTTCCTACTGCTGGCACATCAGATGGCCCAAACTTGGCTTCCAGAGCCTGCTCTGTGGCAGCTGCTACAGGTCAGGGTCTCCAGGTGGGCTGTGCCTCCCGGAGCAGGGAAAGCACCTCGAGGTTCAGGCAGACGCAGGTCCAGGTGGCTGCATGACTGAAGTCTGTGTCCCGGCCCATGCCAGGGGGCCGGGGCCTCAATTCCAGACCCCTCTGCACTCCTGAATCTTGGGGCCGGCAGGGGCTGGCCAAATCGTTCCCACTTCTGCAACTCTGCCGGCCCCCACCCATCTCCCTACTGAGGCTACAGAGTTCTCTGTGTTCAGGACCAGGTTGGGGAGCCCTCCCAGGTGACCCAGGACAGCCCACCTGTCTACCTCACAGTTCATAAACATAAGCACATCTGCAACTTCATCTTGCCATTTGACATGGCACACGTTGGGGGAACACGGCACGCTCTCAGGAGTCTTGGGTTAGAGTCCATGGGAGAAGGACACTGAAAGACAACACAGAAACATTATTACAATATCTCATGTAGACAAAGGCACCGACTCCCCCAAATAGCAGAAAAATCGGATAAACCTTAAAAAAAATACAAAAAGAATGGAAAACTGAGTTAAAAGACTTAAAAGTAAATACACACACACATGAAAAGCAGAAGAAAACTAAGATCAAACACATCCGAACTATCAATAAAAATAAATGAGTTTAACTAGCAAAAGAAAAAAGATTCTCAGGTTGAATCACAAAGAAATACAGAGCTTACATGAAACATAAAACAAGGAGTTAAAAGGGGAAGAGAGGCGAGGAAAGCCACGCAGGGCAGATCCAGGAGTGCCGTCTGCAGGAGCAGTGGGCACACAGACAGTCAAACAGCTACGGCCTGGTAAGCAGCCACCTGCCAGCAGCCCTGAAGAAGGTGGCGAGATGCCCTGCTCTTCGCCACGCCAGAGCAGGAGGGCCGAGGCCCGGTGCAGACCCACAGGCTGGAGGCACACAGTGAGATGTGAGCCTGGTCAGCCTTTGATGTCCACCCACTCTATAAGCCAGAACAGAGACTCCACCTTCTCCCCCACCGCACTGGAATGGCAAGGCCACAAGCAAACCCCAGGACCAATCGTGCGCAGAGAGCAGAGCTGGAACCGGTGCCCAAGGGCAAGCAACGTGTCAACAAAGTGCCGACGAACACAGGAGTCAGAAGCCTCCACTCCAAATGTTCGCGCTTGCTCCTACAGCTCCTGGACCACAAGAAAAGAGACT